ACATTTATGGAATTTTGAAATACAAATATATACTTTGTAGGCATGGATTCTTTTCTAATGCGCCAAAAGCAAAATTTTACAAATTTTTCAAATGTATTCTAAAATAATTATTTATAAAAAAAACCAAAGTTTAGTTTTCTCTTTTGAATTATGTAAAATTTTTCATGTCGGGTCCTTTTATAGCCGATAATACAGTATGGGTTTTCTCATTGTTGAAGGCCGTACGGTTGCCTATAATTGCTTACATCCACTTCATTAGAACTTGGGTGGTTAGTTGTCTTATTGGCAATCATACCACATCTCCTTATTTTTACATTATACTATTAAAAAATTAGCCTGGAAAAAATGATATAATAAGTCTCCCAAACACAGTTTTGAGAATTATTGGTTTTGCTTTTGCTCAGTTCTTCTTGTTCTTGTTCTTCTTATTATATTATTATTATTAATTTTTTTCCGCTTCTTTCTCGCAGCTAAACCTGTACGGAGTGGATCTCGGAAACCGTTTGCTTCAAGTCGACGGTCCTTCATGTTATTGTAGACAAATGCTCCTAGATGATTCTTAGCGTTCAAGTTTTGAAAGATGTGAAAGGGAAGGTATTTTTTGGGGGATTAAAAGGGGTGAGGTTTACTATAGAAGTCTATGGGAAAATTGAAAAAAAAATTCCAAATGGTCACAACTTGAAAACTAATGAAAATAATAATAAGGGGTCTTCAGTAACTGTTGTAAGACTACAATGGGATGATTTAGGTTTTCTTACCGGCAGGGGTGCAATTATTTCTGTTTTCTTTTCTTTTTTTGGACCTTCGTCGCTGCATGTAATTGATTAATATAATATGTCACATGATACTGGAGCAAAACTAATCATTTCCAGACCAAATATTAAAATCATTCACTTCAACAGGATCCAAGAAAACTTTGACGAAAGTTCCATTGTACAATGAGTGATGTAAAATTCGAACTATCGGCAAACAAAAAGTGGTTAAACGGCAGCAGTAAAAGTTGCTTACTCACTACAATTCAACATTATCAAGCTGCAGACCATATATTACACACTGTTAATCATTCCCTTTCATAGAAGCCAAGAAAACTTCAACGAAGATTTTTTTTCCTTATACAATGTGTTGTAAAATTTCAAACTATCGGAAAACAAGAAGTGGCTACACGACAGATTAAAAACAATGCATGTTTAAGGATTCTAATTGTATGGTTTTTACATCAAAAAACAAAAGTGTGTATTATTGGATTGATGTTAAAGTCTGATTTACGTGATAACCTGACATATATCTGCATATTCTAGTTATGTTTAACTTTGATCAGGAAAAGAACATTCGAGGTAATACATACATATAAACTCAGTGTATATTCACACCATATGTATAAGCTATCACATACAAAATGTTAACTTTAAAACACGCATTTAGTATATATCAAACATAAGTGTTACACTTAATCCATTATTCTGCGAGGACTCTACACACTAATTTTCTTCTAAATCACAAAAGATAAAATTTAATGTCTTATAGTACAGCCTCTAACGGACGCATGTCTGAATGCGATTGAATGAATTCTTGTGTTTGTATCGGTTATATCAACAAGCGTCAATTCATTGTACAGCCCCAATTATAAATCTTTGTTTGTTAATCATGCACAAAACATACCTGTCGCCAGTTTTGCTCTTATTTTCGCTGTCATTTCTTTTGGCCGTAGTTAGCATCAACATTCAAGGAAATAAATGAAAACACATGTCAGCTTTATGAATGTGAAATTTTACGCGTACATTCAGTTAGATGTGGACGAGCTGATGACGAATGTTTTCGAGAATTGTATTAGAATCATGCTGTGATTGGCAAGCATATTATAGTGTTGTGGAAAATGATCAAGATTATACACAGTAAACCGTAAAGTTGTTCGTTATGAATAATTAATTAATGATACAGATAACATAACCAATAAGAAACATGTTATAAAATATAAAATCTCCGATATTGTAATGGTAGGCATGACATTCTCTATTCATTGAACTTTTTGTGCTAAGGCAAGTTCAATTTGAGCCACGTTATTATTCATGTCTTATAGATTAAACAAAAATGCAAACAACTTCTGAAACTATAATGAAAAAATTCAATAATGAATAAACAACTAGAGGTTGCACTTTGTAAATACAGCTGTTTCTCAAACCACGCCTCTTTTGGGGAGATATATAATATTCATAGATATGTTAATTTGTTAATGTACTGGTTCCCATTTATGATCTCTGTGTTTCATCTCATAGAGACATCACTTGGGAATGTAACCAGTATAGAAAAACATGGTAGCGCCTAAATTTTAATTCTTAGGAGGTCCAAATATGAAGGTAAGGGTAGTATAGAATTTTAGTATAAGTTTAAACTCTTAGAAGTTCAGGGCATATAAATGTTGAAAATATGCCGCACAGCCCTATATTTTGACCTTTGAATAAAATAGTAGTGCATATAAACTTTCCGTTCTGGGATATTATTTTTCACGAAACTTCATAGTAAAAGTGTCACAGTTTTAGCTGCAAAGGGAGTTCCTATGGGAAATTGCATTGTCTATATTTACAGAATTGCAACCTAGATAAAAAAATATGCATTCTTATAATCAAATTTATATAGCACAAAGAACAAAAGTCGAAATAAACCGTTGTCCCCAAAAGAAAACAACAAAAAAGCAAAATAAAAACCCAACAAATAAAACCCAGAGATAAATGTTCGATGTCTCACTTTATATTGTCTTTATTTCCGTACCTTTCGTTATTCATCAAAAGTGTTAAATGCTTAAAGAGGTATAAAAGAGGGACGAAAGATACCAGAGGGACAGTCAAACTCATAGATCGAAAGCAAACTGACAACGCCATGGCCAAAAATAAAAAGACAAACAGACAAATAATAGTACAGATGACACAACATAGAAAACTAAAGACTAAGCAACACGAACCCCACCAAAAACTGCTACGAGTTAGATAAAAATTTAACATACGACTCTTTGTGTTTGAAGTATCAATCAAAGCGGAATTTTGATATGCTATTTCGTTAAAAGCATTCAGTGTGGCCCAAATTTGTCAAAATAAGCTCAAAACATCGCTGATGTATTATTGACTTGCAAGTGAATAAGTCAACCTCATGTGTATTTTTATATTCATGTAAACTTAAATTTAACCTCTTAGCTGGAGATGAGTTGCGCATGTAAGAGGCTAGTTCAGCTAGTAAAAGAAAAAAGAATGTCAGCATTGAAAGTGAAACAAGAGTGAACCATTTCGTTGACGGATTCGATCTATAAAAATAATTTTTATGCAGGTAAAAACGATTATTTAACATAGTTTTAAAACTATAACATGAAATCAAACAGACCAAGGAAAATCCAATTGCACGTGGTCGCTATCGATTTATATTTATGTTTATATCGGGTTATATGACCGTCAGCAGTCTTCGGGGTCATCTTAATGAAAATGGTTAAATACCCTTCTTAAAACATATCATTTACCATAAATGTATCTAGAATGTCCATTATATAAATTAATTCTAATAATAATGAGAACAAAATTATAATAAGCAATACTCTGTTTTCTTCAGTACATTGTAGCAAGTATGGATAAAAAAGATGTGAGTAATCAACAATAACACAGTAACCTAACAATACGAAATAACATGAAAGAGAGGCGGGAGATACCGAATGTATAATCAAACACTTAAGTCGAAGACAAACTTACAACACTAAGGAATAACACAAAAATGTATAGACGTAAAGACAAACAACAGTCTACAAAACACAATATAGAAAATTAAAGAATGAGCAACACAAACACCACAAAAAACTGTGTTGATTTCATGTGCCCCGGAAGGGTACGCAGATCCTGCTCCACACGTGACATACGTTGTTTTGCTTAAGCAAGTACGAATTCAGTGATTAGTCACAGTCGCGGAAAAGAAGACGGGATTGTGGTAACGACAATTGGAACATATCTGTTATTATCCGATATTCCATAACGGTCAAAAAACTTTACCACATTAATTTAACAGCTTCCTTGTAAGCAGCAACCCTCGATTAAGCCAATTATGATAAGAAACGCAGGCTATGTAATATCGTATAAACTAGGAGATATATACTCCATATTTGGGCGCTGCCGGAATGCTGCTACTTAGAGATTGAAAGTTCACAATTGGGAGGCTCAGATAATCTATTTTGTAGTAAATTGTATTCTTTACCTACCCTCATTGTCAATTTCTAGATGTAAGAAAAGATATGAAACCAACTCAAGTGTATCTGTGGAATCCTTAATTGCAGGTTCGATGAGTTATATCACGAAACATGAAATTATTAAGTGAGATGACATCTTTCAAGCGGACCGTGAAGTTATGGGAAAGTACTAGCTTCTTTTTATTTTTTCTAAGAAAAAAAAGAATATTTAAAGATGTATTACATACGTATCAAAAGAAAAACAAACCAAATATGGTCATTATGATCACATTAAAGTGCCATTTACATTTGAAAATGATGTGTTTTCTGAACGATGCAGTTTTATATTTTATCAAATAAGTTCGTAGGGATAGAAACACTTGCAACGTAAAATATATTTCCTACTTCATAATTAATTTGTTAATAACAATATTAATCTGAATATGCAGTATATAAGTAAAAAAAAAAAAAGAAGAAAAATAACAAAAATACCGAACTCCAAGGAAAATTCAAAATTGAAAGTCTCTTAACAAATGGCAAATCAAAAGCTCAAACATATAAAATGAATGGAAAACAACTGTCATATTCTTGACTTGATACAGGCATTTCCTTATGTAGAAAATGGTGGATTAAACCTGTTCTTCGAGCTTATTTATATGTGTTCATTTCCATAGACATCATTGGTTGTTGCTACGTGAGACCGAGTTGATAAGAGCTAAACCATCGCTTATCATTTTAATGTTATTATTGAAGCACAAAGGGCGTTCTAGTTATCTATTACGATACTACTTTGTTGCTAGTAATTTCCGGCAAGTAGCTATACTATCTCACAATCATTACTATAGTATGAATGTACAATCATTCGACAGTTTTCACATAGAAATATTCACGCAGACTTTTTTTGTTTTTTCACGCGCATATAATTTCTCAAAACTCGATCTTCAACCAAGTGTATTTAATTCTATTCACACCTCATAAATTTAATTGATTTTATATTATTTGTTTCACACATTAAGAAGAAGTTGAACTGACTTGATATTAACATTGACGTCACATTACAGAAAACAAAATACTCTGCTGGTAACATGTATTCATTGAGGAAACATCACTAAAAAAACAACTTGAGGAAGCTCCGTAAGTATTCTAACCTTTTTTGTATTATTTTATCAAGCATGATAACGTTTTAATTTCTTTTGAAAATCGCTGTAATCAGTTGTAAAAGAATTCCTACTACCAAATACAATATCCTATCTAAAATACGGTTTATATTGTCAATTATCAAAAATATATTTCACTGTTGTGACATTTTTAATAAAGATTTCAGATAAATGTTACATTGTTATAAGTCAATTCCCAAATCGACTTCAAAAACATCTTCGAGTCATAAGGTCGGCTTTATGAATTAAGGAGACCGTAGTTTACCGATGTTCAAATCTCCTAAATCGATTCATTCGAATCCAAACTCATAATGACATAATCGAGAATAGGACATAATCGTTTAAATGACAGATCAGACGATAATTTTGGTATCTCAAGATCTAAGACTGTGAAAAATATCGCTTACGAGTTGTGACACAGATATATATCGTATCGGTCAACAACTTCAAGATGGGGAACGTAAAACTTGGGTAGTGTCCATTGCAATCATTGTACCTCATAACTCTGTAGGAGCAGTAGTTTAATGTAAAGAGCAAACCCCTGCTGACGAGAGTCCGTATACCATGTGTATTCACGAGCGTAACGTATCAATTGATATATGTAAACGCTTTACGATGGAACAGATGGTTTGTTCCTTTCGGAATTATGGATCCTTAATGCTTTTCATTTCCTCCTTTATTTGACTTTTATAACTGTTTTGATTCGAGCGTCACTGGTGAGTCTTTTGTACACGAAACGCGCTTCTGGCGTACAAAATTTTAATCCTGATATCTATGATGAGTTTATTTGTTAGTGCTGAGAAATAAAAAGTTGACAATTGGAAAGTTGTAACCATCACTTTTGTCATTGATTTTAGATTGAAGCCGTCCATCTGTGTCAATATTGAGGAAAAGATCAAGATATATCAAGAGATCTCCTAGATTCGTTGGTATTCTTTATCTTACTGAGATATATGAGATGCAAGCAATCACAATGTAGTTTATTGAGTGACAGGACATCTTCAATATATAATGTTCTAAGTAAAATCTTATTTAATGTTAACCCCACTCGCTTATCATAAGAAATATGCATAAAACACATAAAACTGATACAACAGTAAAGGAGATTCCAAAGGATATTATAACACATCAGTCGAAGACGAACTGACAACGCCAGGGTGAAAAATGAAAAACGACGAAAAGACAAACAACAGTCAACAAAGCACAATAAACTCAAACTGACATTTTTCTTAAATATTAGAAACCATAAATAATCAATGAAAAAACCCGGGAACACTCTGTTAGAAACAGAAAATTCTTCTAAATCACAGAAAAAATTGTGTTCTCAGAAATTAGTACTTTCGTTTAATTATGATCACCACATTAAAAAGTAAAATCACAAAAATACTGAACTCCGAGGAAAATTCAAAAAGGAAAGTCCCTTATCAAATGGCAAAATCAAAAGCTCAAACACATCAAATGAATGGAAAACAACTGCCATATTCCTGACTTGGTACAGGCATTTTCTTATGTAGAAAATGGTGGATTACACCTGGTTTTAAAGCTAGCTAAACCTCTCACTTGTATGACAGTCGCAACAAATTCCTTTATATTGACAACGATGTGTGAACAAAACAAACACAATAGGTAAAAATGTCACAAATAGGGGTAAAACAGCAACACGAACCCCACCAAAAACTGGGGGTGATCTCAGGTGCTCCGAAAGGGTAAGCAGATCCTGTTCCACATCTGGCACCCGTCGCACAGGAATAGTATAAGATTTCATTTGGTTATTTGTATCGTTGGGTTTCTGTCGTATTTTCGCATATCCAGCATCGTCTATTGTTTATACTGAAATGCAAATCGTACCACAACAATATATATAACTAATACAAAGTTAATAATTCAATTTGAATGCATTATTAACTCTCTATCGAACACATCCTTTGTTTTTGGGAACTATTTTTGATTTTCTGTTTCGGTGAAGATATATAGTTTGTTATAAGGACTTGATAAAGATAATGGTTCCAGCCTCTATGTTTATTTGACATCAAATATTGCCACCTCTCTGTTGAAGCAACATTTATACATCTAATTTTTCCGTTTAGTATCATAAACTAGACTAACAAATAAAATTTAGTAAGACTTTGACATGAAATTCATAGAATTACCATAAAAAAGAAGAAAAAGCTGATTTCTGTTTGAGGAAATCGGCACTACTTACGCGTTCTAAGTGTGCATTTTGTTTTTAGTTTTGTAGAAGCATATGATGTCAGCACACAGTAACCAACTATGCAGCCCATACAGCTTTGTATTTGCAATTTTTAAGCCTGTTATTTCTTCATCAATAATCTTCTTGTAATCATGACAAACAAAAGCTGTTCATTTAAAGACTTTTTTTCTGCATGTTCTTTCCGATCATTTACTTTTCTGCCCTAATGTTTATCTCGTTTTCTTCTGAGCAGGACGAACTAGGAAACATTTTGTAGGTTTACACTAGTTAACAATTTCTTGATTTAGATTGTTATTACTTCTTATTGTTGAATTTGCTAATTTTTTGCTAGTTATGTAGTTTTTATGAATTCGACTGTGCCTCTGTATTGTACATTATCGAAATACAAAATGCACACTTCGAATAAGTGTATTGTTACACATTAATTTACAAACAATCTTCATTCTGTATTATACGCAACATCCTCAGATGAAAATCATCATAAAATGATAACTTTAACAGACGGTCAGTTTTCCGTTTGAATAGTTTTGAATGTTATATCCGAGGATGTTCAAAGTCGCCGTTGTATTTATCTAATTTCATCGTCGACAGTATTAGTCCTGGGTCGTTTCGAAAATCTCGATTTTCCTTGTCAGTCGCCATTTTGTTTTTACCTGGGAGACTTGTAATTCACAAGTTGTCTCCCTTTTACCGATTTTGATAGCGATTTGACTTCGCCATGAAGTCAGTCGGCCGGCGAGATTTAGCGATTTTCAAAATTCTTTGGCGACTTAAGTCGTCATTTCGCCGGCAAGATTATGGCCTGCAGTGACTGTATATAAGTTAAGTTTATAGTTTATATTATATACATATTTATATTACATATTAAGTGCAAGGTTAGACCGGTTTTTGGTGGGACCGTGTTGCTCAGTCTTTATTTTTCTGTGTTGTGTTTTCTATACTGTTGTAAGTCTTTTAGTCTTTTTCTTTTTTTGATTACGCGTTGTTAGTTTATTTTCGACCTATGGGTTTGAATGTTCCTTTGGTATCTATCGCCTCTCTTTTGGATCACATGTGGTGTCAATGTAAATATGTTACAGCCATTTAACAGGGAACACAATTCGAATAACAAAAAATCCATAATTAGTTGTATATGGTTAAAAAGGAAGAAATACACATAAGTTGATACATGATTTTTTAGATACGTAATGTTTTATGTGTTAGTAAACGGATAAATTTATATGAAAATGCAAGATTTCAAGGTTGTAGAATATCAATTGAAAACAGATGTATTTTTTATATAGAATGTGAATGTTTTATGCAAGGAGTATTTTTTTCACCCATTTGAAATGTCCCTGGCAAATGGGATATGTAAAATAAAAGCAGGAATCCCTCTGTCCAGTGGGAAGTCTAGTGACACAATATCATCTCCCCTGTAAACACTGAAAACTAGATCTTTTAAATGTTTGTCCTATTGTAGCAAGGACGCTATCATTTATAAATTCACGTTCTGGTAAATAATAGAAATAGAAATAAGTTGAAATAAGAACAAAACTTCTATTTGATGCTATCATTTCCATCCTTATATAAAAAAACGACGAGTACAGCAGGCTAAAGGAGCTTGGTGTAAAATTGGTTTAAAAAGTTTATATGTGAATAAATTCCTGAAGTATCAATTTCAATTTATTTTTTTACTGGCTGTATACCTCTCTGGAACATACTAATTATCCGTATATATATGCAGCTAGATCAGAGAAAGTCAGGAGAAAAAATCCAAAGGAATCGATTGATATGCAGCATATTGGCACTTTTGAAATTAAGTTACTAAGCAAATTCAAACGGACCTCATCCCGATGTAACCATTGAATGTGAATAGATCGAGAAGACCGCAAATACACGTACAAAAATCGAGACGACTTTTCTTAAAATTGTATGAAAAATAGTTAAAAGATGCCTACTTTCTACTATGTTTTCTCTCAATCGATTTATGACTTTTAAACACTACTGTTGCCTTTATTTATAAGAACATTTATCTTTAATTTTCTAACCTGCATAGACAAACTTTTATATTGATATATTAATGAAAAGACAATATTTCTATATTGAATTGTCATGTGACAAGAGCAGACCGGTGTACTCGAAACTTAGAATGTGAAAAATAAGTATATTTTGGGAAGTTGTAACATGCTAAGGACTTTTTGGAACACTCCAAAAATTGTTGACCCGAAAGATCTTTAGATTTTGTATGTACATGATTTTTTCCAATTTTTTTCATCAATATGCAGCAAAGATTGGAATTTTTTAGATTTCAGTTTCACAAGCTTCTAATGCAATTATCTCGATAAATACTGAACATAAAACATCGTGTATTTGCATGTATATTTCTAATAACACAGTTAAACAAATAATTTCTTTAAAATGTACAATTGTTATTTAGAAATAACTTTTGATCAGTGTCGTCACCGGCATTGTTTTATTATTGATTTTTTCGACTCTTTCATAAGCAGAAGTAATTTTCTTTTGTTCTTTTTCACTAGATTTCCCACTTTGTCAGCTGCCCTAGACTGCTATTCCAGGTAGTTTGAAATAAAAGGTGTTATTCGTGTTAACAAAATCGACATACAACGCCATTTGTGATAATACAAAAGGTGTTGAGGAAAATGGGAAGTAAGGTTAGTGACAATAGAATATTCATCCATCCAAACTGATTTATTGTTGCATTACAGCTTTTAGATCAAGATGAAACAAAAAACGAGAATTTACCCCAGACATGGTTCATCAGAAGTACAAGAGAATGCAGGAACGATTTCACCCATTCTAGATCGGGATATCATTGATATGATCAATGTCAGACGTCGGTTCAACAGATGTGATACTTTGTGTAGAGGTACCTTTGTTTCTTTACCCTGTATAGTATGTTAAAATGAAGCCTAGTTTTCAAAATTTTATTACTTTTCTAGTCAATGATATTTCTTTGGAAAAAATCTTTTATGTACTTAACATATTGCTTAGACACGGCTTAGAAATGCACATCATTTTTAGATATGAATAACTATAAGAATAATAATTCCGTGGGTAAAAAAGTTTAAGCGTGTTTTTCAATGACTAATATTTGTTATATTTGTTATAATTTTACAGGTAACCCTATAACTGACGCTGGAAAACGTACACAATTGGTAAAGATGTTGTCTGTCGTTATGATTCCAGTACTTGTAATAACGGGAATGACTGGAAATAATTTCGCTTCATCTATTGGTAATTACATCAGTTCAGCAAGTGTTCGAGATGTTCTCTACTTTAGCATAGAACTAGGAGCACTTTTGCGCATAATCCAGTTTGAACGTGATATGAGTGCACTTTATGTAAGCAATATCAAACCGGAAACGAAAGACTTCCTTCTACAGCGTTATCCTGACACTGACCTAGCTATCCAAAACCTATCATACTGGCCTCAAGGGGAAAATCTCATCCCTGAAATGGAAACTCGAGAAAAGTTTTTATCTTATTTGAATAAACATCGATATCAGCTTGATGTCTTTGACCAGTCAGTAGAAGGCGAACTAAATTTTTACTCTGGTAGTATTGATGTTCTATTGAAATGGTTGTATGACAGTGTAAGTGAAACGGGCACAGGTTCAATTTGGAAAGATGTTGTCGCCTATCAGGAAATTATTGTAGCAAGTGAATTATTTGGTAGAGAAAGAGCTTTGGGTGTGTCATTTTATGCAACTGGCGGTTTTGAGACGCGCGAAGAATACTTGCTGTTTGTTGAAAAACAGAACAGGGCTAATGTTACATTTGAATCCGCAAGATTTTACTCAAAAATAGCATTTGACCTATATAATGTTGAATTAGCAAAAAATCCAAACGTGAGCGAAAGTATAGAAGACTTTCGAAACAGAATAAAATCTAACAATTATTCAAAAGAATCAGCCTCAATTGCTGAGGCAGAGATGTGGTTTGGTAACATGACTATTTACCAAGGTGTTCTAACCCGTACTCAGAAAGCTCTTGCCCTGACTATAGATGACAATCTTGTCAAAGCGTCTCAAGAGGGACTCGAAAGTGTAATAACGATTTGTGTAATATTCGGCTTTATTCTTATTGTATGTCCACTTCTTGTGTTTGCTGTTTACACGCTGACGTCTGATATCCAGAAGTATTCCATTTTGATAGCAGACAGGTAATTAACTTATCCATAGTTATCAAATATTTGATATATTTTCAATATCAGAGATAATCTGCTACTAGAGATAACAGTGCCAAAGCCAAATGATAAAAAGAGAATTACATATTGCTTTCGAAATACTGTCTAATCACAAATCATTTACAATATGGTCTTAAATGTTTGATGTTGCACTTTGTAAATACAGCTGTTTCACAAACCACGCCTCTTTCGGGGAGAAATGTAATATTCATACATGTTTTGTTTTGTTTACCTAATGGCTCCCAGATATGATGTTTATGCTTAATCTCGTAGAGACACAACTTTGGAATGTTACCTGTATAAATACACATGGATAGCGGCCAAATTAAATTCTGTGAAAGACCCAAGTTTAAACTCTTAGCAGTTCGAGGCATATAAATGTTGAATAAATGCCGCACAGTTCTATATTTTGACTTCATAGTACAAGTGGCACAGTTTTAGCCATAAAATGAGTTCCTATGGGAAATTGCATTGTCTATATTTACAGAAGTGCAACCTTGAAGTGAAAATAAATTAACTTTTAAACAGAACTTTACATATTATTTCATTGTTTTTATCCGTGAAGACAATATTGTTGTATTGTATAATTTCATATTGAACTTTGCTTTTGCATTTCCTCTCAGTTATAAAATTTTAACATTCCCTGTACCTTATAACTAATACATTAGAATGAACATACAGTTAATAACATTAACAGTACCAATTTCCTGCACCAGATGCGCATTTCGACAATTACTGTTTGTTAAGTCATGTGCGAGGCCATAATATTCGAAAATCCAAAACTAATTCATAAACAAGCATGTATGTGGTTTAATTACATTTTATGAACTGATTTATATACATTTTTGGACATTTCTCATGTTTTGAATTAAATACGTTTGAACTCTACTAAGTTTTTATTTGGGGGGACCTAAACGGCAAGGAATACATGATAGGTCTGACTTTTCATTTATCAAAATAAAAACTTATTTCAATCCTTTTCAATAGTCCAAAAGACGTTTCTAATATATTATATTTTACAGGACTCACAAATTGAAGAAAGAAAAGAAACGTACAGAGCTGCTTCTCTATAAAATGCTGCCAAAGTCAGTGGCTGAACAACTGAGACAAGATAAGAATGTGGATCCAGAAAAGTATTATGATTCCACCATATTTTTCAGTAGCATTGTAGACTTTGAAAACATTTCATCGCATAGCTCACCGCTTCAAGTTGTTAAAACCTTGACTGATCTGTACAAAGATTTTGATCATAGAATCGCCATGTATGATGTTTACAAAGTTGATACTATTACAGATGCTTATATGGTAGTTTCCGGTATGGCATTAATTTTGGAAACGAATTTGTCTTGAATGGTTATATAAAGCAAAATTGATTAGTTGCATACATTCTAAGATATCTGTCATACAATTGAGAATGGAAACAGGGAATGTGTCATAGAGACAACAACCCGACACAGCGAGAAAATCCAGCACCCGGAGGTTGGCTTGAGGTGGCCCCTAAACAATAATGTATACTTGTTCAGCGAAAAATGACGTCACACTAAACTCCGAAACATATAAATGAACCAAAATTTAAAAAAAAAATACATGAGAAACAAAGGCCAGATGACTTGGGACAGGCGCAAAAATGCGGCGGGGTTAAACAAAGTTTTGTGAGATCTGATGTTTATATTTAACGCTGTGGGTTATTTTGTATACCTTGTGTTGTTTTCTATATAACCAGCAACAATTTATTCTCTCGTATGCATTTCAAAATTCTGTTAATGTCCTCATGAAAGTTCCTGAATAAAATTTTCTAATAATTGATCAATCATCGTAGTCATGAAAAATATTTATTGAATTCGAAGAACTTTTCTTAGATTTTTCATCAAGGATACATAAAGGAAAATATCGGAAAATTAAAAAAAACAAGATGTTTAACGACACAGATTTAATACTTTCAAAAGGGTATACATTTATTGGTACTATAAATAACCAATACCTCTACAAAATCATAACGAAAAAGTTATATGTAATTTCATATTTTAAAATCCATAGGTATTCCCAAGAGGAATGGCATTCGACACGCTTCACAGATAGGTACAATGGCACTAGACATTCTTGACCATATTCAAAACTGGGTTGTACCGCATTTACCAGGAGTAAAATTGGAAATAAGGATTGGAATTCACTCAGGTTTGTAAATACGTTGATGACACTTCGTGATATATCTTATCTTTATTTTAAAAGTACCAAATATCTATAATATCATTGCTGTTATTTTAATCCTATAATGTTTTAACCTATCCATATTAAGGTAAACAATCAAAAGATACAGCCCCAAATATTATAACTAAAAGTATATCATACATGTTTGTATATAAAGTATATTATTGTCTATCTTAATACAGGACCCGTTATTGCTGGAATATTCGAAATAAAAATGCCAAGGTATTGTTTGTTTGGTGACACTGTCAATGTTGCATTAAAAATGGAAAAAATGGGAATTGGTAAGTAGATATAACAATTTCACATGAAGTATTTGAATCCTAAAACATTTAAACACCTTTCAAGAAGGATAAGTAATATATACCGACAGCGAATGCCTTTATATTCACTTCTCTTTTTTTTAATGTGACATTAAATTTGCAGTCGATGACCAATTTATGTTAGAGATAAGCAGTTTTGATGTATGACATTAGATATTTTATTTGACAAAGGAAATATTTACTGAAAAAAATATGAATTTATTTAGTTGCCTACACTAAATGTATAAAATACATTTTGTTATTTGTGATTGAATAAGATATGGTTACACTGTCACCGCATCCAGTATCGCTCCTTTCGGATTCTCTCAGTTTTTATTCGTTACCTTGCTTTGTCTTCTTAATCAATTGATGAGATTTGAACATGGGTAAACTGCTGCTGCCTTAACAGATATACATTAATTTTAAAATTTTCTGACAATTGAATGTCGTTAAGTAGGGTAGAAGGGTTGAGCGCTCACAAACATGTTTAACTCGGACGTGTTATGTATGTGCCTGTCCAGAGCCAGGAGCCTTTGGTACAGTATTTGACGTTGGTTCATGTCTTTCATATTTGTTTTTCGTAAATTGTTTTGTTATAAATTATGCAGTTATTTTTTCGTTTGAACTGCTTCACATTTTTCATATCGGGGCCTTTTATAACCGACTATACGGCGTGAGTTTTCTCATTGTTGAAGGACGTACGGTGCCCTATAATTGCTTACTACCACTTCATTTTAACTCTGGTGGATAGTTGTCTCATTGTCAATCATACCACATCTCACTTTTATATCATTAAAGAATTGAAACAAAATACATATAAATAGTTTTAAATTTTATTCAGTAAACAAAATACACATAAGCCAGACAACAAGAGACTATCTTTTGGCAACTGATGGATATGATATGGAGGAAAGAGATGATGATGTAGTCAAGGTTTGATTTTTTCTAATTATTCTCTTTGTTTGAAAACAAGGAAACGTATTCGTCAATGAAATAGCGATTTAATATATTACACCACAGTAAAGCAAAGAACACAAGACATATATACATATGTACAATTTAAGGATTGTAGATTCGAATGTGCGTGATAACATATCTTTTAATTTAAAACATTTTCATTTTCACAATTGATTTTTTATTTACTCTAAGAAGGATTTAAAACAAATATTTATGTAGGAAATGAAACAGAGCGATATTTTCAATCAAAACTTAAAATATAGGGAAAGCAAGATTTCATTAATATTAGTTGCCAGGTTTTTAAAGTCACACCTATTACTGATTTGAAAAGTTCCTTGCATTTCTTTTGCAAACAAACCAAAATGAGAGAGTGTGATCAGTTTGAATTTTTAATATGTTATTACCTCAGAAATGGAAGGGTATACCAATGCCTTAAGATACATTTTGCAATTATTCTCTTTTTACTCATTTACTCAGAAGGACAAGGAAGTGTCTGATATCTTCAAAGGAATTTTACGTACCTACTGGTTGAATAATTCGGACGACTTCATGCCGGCGAAGAAAATATGTGAGATACAAACGACAAAACAGAAGTAAGTTAGTAAAAAGTTGTTTTCTGATGTACAAACATCAGAATTCGACCAAAACACATAAATCAAGGTTAAAAAAAAAACGAAAACGGAGAGCATTACATGAATTCCGAAGAAGATGTGAGCCTGGATGCGTCGATATTGAGAGCATTTAGTCAAAATGTCACAATAGGAAAATAGGACACAATAGGACACAATTACTGATCCTACGACTACTGTGGTATCTGAAGATATATGAAAAAACAAGTTGCTGCTAGTATCGTATCGGTCAGGAACACATGAAAAGCAAATAGCAGATAAAAAAAATATTGGTATATATTGAGAAATATTCAATTTCCAGCTTGTTCCAATGTTGAGTCATGACTTTGATCACATCTTTGATAATATTGTGTGAGTGTATGTTTAATCGATTTATGTCCTAACACATCTCTATTTTTCAATTAACACTTCATAAACACTGTGAAAATCAGTAACAGTTTCCGACATTAAGGAGACATTCTGTTGATGGTTATTAGTCAAAACAATTATTATGTTTTTAAAAAAATGGATGAAGTTTTACAAGAAATATTGAATTGCAAATGTCAAAATAATTACTTATTTAATATTGTAATAGTCCTATCCATAGTGAGGTTTCAGACAGCATTGTCACAGCATGTTTTGTCCGACTTTTATAGGCGTTAAAAAACAATTCGTAATTAAATACTGAAACATTTTGATCCGACGACAAATCACTCAACATAGTCCGTTTCGTTTCTCACAATCAAGAGAAGGTGCGATATTATTTTTATGATTGTAATAAATTCATCATGAATTTTAACTTTTGATTTAAGACTTACATCTTTGTTTGTTTAAAAGTTGAGGTAACACAAAATTATAAAAACCGGATAGTTTTTTAACCCATTACTTAGGATAGTTTTCTCTTTAGAAATGAAACCACATCTCAGTATTATCATATTAATCAAAGAATTAAAAAATAAGAATTGATTTCGTAGTTCAAGTAAAATATCGTCAAGTTAAATATTTCTAGGATACATCAAGAGGTGTTTGGACTATCAATGTAACAAGTGTCTTTTGTGGCAAAAAATGTACAATTTTGTTTAAAAAAAAACAACCGAAAACGTTCGTCAAGTGTATAAACAGATCTATCAAAAGCTATACTTTCCTGTGTGAATGGTTTTTGCTGCTACATCTTTCAGTATAGACGTTCTACACCAATATTATTTATTCACATATATAATTGCGATATTTGCAAAGGGGATAACTTTACCAAAGATTTGCACCTATATTTTTTGAAATATTTTCAATGATTGTTGTTGACATTTGTACAAATTCTTTACACAAAATACATACTGTCATAACTGAATGTTTACTTTTATTTTTCAGAAAGCATAATGTTTGACAGGTTCTAACTGTTACACAGAACCTTTATATGTTTCATCGAATATACCTCAACAAATAAGTGATCAACAAGAAAACGTTCTTAAAATACGTTAAGACATTTATTTCTGTTTTAGCGTCTGTCATGGACCCATTTTACAGGTGGTTGAATATTATGTGATACATGTTACTATGAATTGTCTGTTTAATTGTATTAAAACTCCCTGGGAAAAATTTTCTTTGATGGCTTTATAAAAATAAGGAGATGTGATATGATTGCCAATGAGACAACTATCCACCAAAGTTCAAATGAAGTGAATGTAAGCAATTATAGGCAACAGTATGGCCTTCAACAATGAGAAAAACCCATATCGTATAGTCGGCTATAAAAGGCTGCGACATGAAAAATATGAAACAATTCAATTGAGAAAACTTACGGCCTAATTTATAACAAAACAATTTACGAAAAACAAATATGACAAACATGAACCCTAGACAACCACTTAATTGTTCTTTTTTTATCTTGCTTATAGAAACGATTGTTTAATTCGGCTTCGGTGATTAAGAACACCATTCCTAACTAAATGTGTAAGCTGAAGGACAGAACAACCGTGATACTTAATCCATTAACTGGACCACAACTGCAAAACACTTGTTAAGATTATGCAAGGTAATGGCCAAATAAGAGATGAAAAAAAACTCATTGCACATCTATCTTTAGAGACGCACATTGACATAAAACTTTCTTATCCACATTACATATAGTTATTGTACCTGCTGACGAAGACCCAAATTAAATATTTCTGTATGTTAAAAAAAACCACATAAACTGTTTAATAATAGCATTATGTATTGCCGACTAACAAGGGAATCCTTTTAACATCTCTTTATAAAATTGTTCTCATTCTATGAAACCAGGTTTAACCCACCATTTTATTCGGAAAATGCCTGTACCAAGTCAAAAATATGACAACTGTTTTCCAATCGTTCCATTGTTGAAATAGTCGAGCATGTAGTTGTGTCAGTTTGTATGGACTTACCTTTTCTAAATTTACCTTGGAGTTCGATATTTTTGTTAATTCTTTTTTTCTCGTTCTTAAATACAAGTTTAAAACTTAGATGCATGAAAATACTCCTAACGAAGAAACACATGTATATATGTTATTTGATGCAAACAAAAAATGCTCTGAAACTGACATCACCAGGACAATAGATTGTTTTACTGACAGCATATTTGTTTTATTTGGGGTATGTGTCTTTCAACACACTCGGCATTTATGAAAATAAAATGTGTTCGTTCCTCTTCAGTATTTAATGACCATTATCGTATTTATCCTATTAAAACTGGAATAAAAGCTACCACAAATACAGTTAGATTTACTAAAGAGAGGCGAAAGATACCAAAGGGATATTAAAATTCATCAGTCGAAAACAAATTGACAATGCCATGACTAAATACGAAAACGACGAAAAGACATGCAACTAGTACGCAAAGCAAACAAAGGAAACTAAAGTCTAAGCAACAAGAACCCCACCAAAAACCGGGGGTGGTGGTGGTGGTGGGGGGGGGGGGGGGGTTGTGGTTTTTGTGTTAACGACTACAGAGATTATTTGAATTTTCCTTTTGTGATCTTTTCATTTTTATACAGTAACATTCAATCAACATCTGCATATGGAGTATATATCTCCCAGATGATTATATATTTCAAAGCTTATATTTCAAATCACGATTATTTGATAGTTATTGAACTAAAGATTCATAATGCTTTAGTTGATTAGAAATTATAAAGTAACTAAGGTGTCAACGCCAATCATTGTCAATTTCCATATCTATTTCAAGATTTGAAGCAGAATTTACTGTAAATGTGGTATCGTTTGTTTCAAGTTCAAAACATACATTTTTATACCCCACGCAACGATTTGCGGAGGGTATAATGTTTTGACCCGTCCGGCCGTCCGTCTGTCCGTCTGTCTGTCCGTCCGTCTTTCCGTCCGTCCGTCAGTCCTGTTTCTTGTCATCGCAACTCCTCTCAAACCACGCAACATAATTTCACGAAACCTTTTTAGATAATAAGGACATACTATGTAGTTGTGCATATCGACAGGAAATTACGATTCAATTCTTTTTTTCTAGAAGTTACGCCCCTTTGAACTTATTTACTTAATGGACTACTGCAACAGTTTGTCATTGCAACTCCTCTCAAACCACACAACAGAATTTCATGAAACCTTTTCAGATAATAAGGACATACTACGTAGATGTGCATATCGACAGGAAATTACGATTCAAATTTTTTTCCAGGAGTTACGCCCCTTTGAACTTATTTGCCCAATATACTACTGCAACCTTTTGTCATCGCAACTCCTCTCAAACCACGCAACAGAATTTCATGAAACCTTTTCAGATAATAAGGACATAATATGTAGTTGTGCATATCTACAGGAAATTACGATTCAATTCCTTTTCTAGGAGTTACGCCCCTTTGAACTTATTTACTTTAATGGACTACTGCAACAGTTTGTCATCGCAACTCCTCTCAAACCACACAACAGAATTTCATGAAACCTTTTCAGATAATAAGGACATACTACGTAGATGTGCATATCGACAGGAAATTACGATTCAATTTTTTTTCAAGGAGTTACGCCCCTTTGAACTTATTTGCCCAATATACTACTGCAACCTTTTGTCATCGCAACTCCTCTCAAACCATACAACAGAATTTCATGAAACCTTTTCAGATAATAAGGACATACTACGTAGATGTGCATATCGACAGGAAATTACGATTCAATTTTTTTTCAAGGAGTTACGCCCCTTTGAACTTATTTGCCCAATATACTACTGCAACCTTTTGTCATCGCAACTCCTCTCAAACCATACAACAGAATTTCATGAAACCTTTTCAGATAATAAGGACATACTACGTAGATGTGCATATCGACAGGAAATTACGATTCAATTTTTTTTCCAGGAGTTACGTCCCTTTGAACTTATTTGCCCAATATACTACTGCAACCTTTTGTCATCGCAACTCCTCTCAAAACCACGCAACATAATTTCACGAAACCTTTTTAGATAATAAGGACATACTATGTAGTTGTGCATATCGACAGGAAATTACGATTCAATTCTTTTTTTCTAGGAGTTACGCCCCTTTGAACTTATTTACTTAATGGACTACTGCAACAGTTTGTCATTGCAACTCCTCTCAAACCACACAACAGAATTTCATGAAACCTTTTCAGATAATAAGGCCATACTACGTAGATGTGCATATTGACAGGAAATTATGATTCAATTTTTTTTTCTGGTACAATTTTTTTTTCTTACACTTATTTTATTTCTCCAATGACAATGTGGGGACGTGGGGTATGTGAGCGCGCTCACTAAGGTTCTTTCATTTAATATCTAGAAACGACCTCAAGAACGACATCTTTTGATATACAATGCAATTAAATGTTCGACACTTATTCAGTTGAAATGAAAACTAGATATAGTAAAACAAATATGGGAAAAGTATTCAGATAAAACATTTGGGACGATATTTTCGTTGTCTGCCTTGTACGATAATTCAACAGAACTTAATGCCTTCGTACAATTTAATGAAGGTTCCGATTGAAAGAGTATTCCTGCTTTATTATAGAAAGGTTCTTTGTAAAACTAACAAATTGTTTGCTAAAGTAGTGTGTATTATAAAGTGTAAACAAAAGTAAATCTATCAACCCCTCATGCCGGCAATTTTACTGGACTTCATAAAAGTTTTAGAAGGAGAAAGAATCTGTTTTGCTGGAAAAATGTTAAAAAACATTATTCATATGTTGTTTGATTATGGAATGACTTTTTACAAAAAGTAAGGATTTTAGTCTGTGATAATTGAAATATATTTGACTTAATCTGCATTTTGACGTTTTAACGGTCATACAAAAACAAGTACGAACAACTTGCGTTTATTAAAAATATATAGCTCTTAAGTATAAATATACGCGTCTATTTAAATTTTCTTACTAAATGTCACCCTTTTTAACAGTTTTCATTTTTTAATGTATCTTTTAATATTTTGTCACGTGTTAATATTTTACACTCGTATATTGATTTGTAGTATAAAAAAAAGCAACAGAAAGAACAATTAACGCATTTTACAAACTTTATTCGTAACCATGACAGAAACTATTTACATAAAGATATGCTGGAATTTGTAGGATCCAGAATTTCTACTAGTATTCCAATATCTACTTGTAGAAATTGGGATATCGAGATTTTTTTTAGGGGGATCCTGAATTGTATTAGATGATTTCACAAACAGACACAATAATAACAATATTTTGATTTACCTAATAATGAAAAACCATATAGTACAAATTTGCCCGAATCAAAATATGCTAAGGTTTTAACAACACTGTAGTGTATTTTCGAACAGTTGATCAAATTATAGATACCTATAGATGGTTCAAAACTTGAATTTTGACAGATTGTGAAATTTTTGGGTAATTATATAAAAACGTATATTAAAAGGACTTTAAAAAAAGTCAAATTGTGTTTCATTATATTATCATTCAAAAAAATTCAATTCTTTACGTTAATGATGTCCTTCGATGCACTACTTTACAAAAACATGTAGAATTTACAATCTTCTCTATAACAACAATAGATAAATTTTGATTCTAAGGAAATATGTAAAATGATTGATCTTTTTTATATTCAGAATATTCATTTTTGAATTCCATAAAGTTTTAAAAGCTCTGATTTTGACGCTATGAGTGAAACAAACAAACACAGAGAAAAGAACGAGGTGCAATAAGGCCCCTTTTCAGCCTAAATTGTCACTGAAATTTTAACTTTTATTTTAACGTTTCCATTTATGTCTCTTTTAATGCAAAATAAAAAAAAAATACTGGTAGGATCAATAACGTCATAATATATGATCATGTTAATTTACACAATTTTTTTTTCATATTGTAAAGCCAAAATGTCATAAACAAAATATTAGCCAATGTTATTGTAAATAAACTATTTCAAGAAAATTTCACGAACGTTTATGTACTTGTCCAAATTATGTATGTAATTAAGGATCGATACAGACATTGTATTATAACTTCTTTCGATTTCCTACTTATCGCATGCATCAGTAAACCAATAAATAAAAAAAAATACAACCTTTACATCATACTAACCATAGTTTTTGAATAATATTCTGGATCCTTTTAGAAATTAAGGAAATCCAGAAAAACTC